AGGGAGAGGGTAAGATTTACCCACGATCTGACAGCACTGAGTGCAGTGGAATTGTTTTCGATATGCATTGATATATCGAAGTTTCGATACATATCGAATTTGTTGCATTGCTCCGCCATTGCTGTAACGATATCGTTCAGAAGAAAAAAAATGGAGTAGAGGAAAAAAAAACAAAGAAAAAAGGTCATCAACTTTGACAAAGTTGGAACTTGGACACTTTTTCCACATTTTGAAAATTTCGTCCGAGAAATTGTCCGATTTCAAATTTTCCCGGGGCGTACGATAATTTTCTGCCGCGTACGATAATTTTACGCCCCTGTGTCGATCAGACGAACTAAAGTCTCTGGGATCACTGGCTTCCATACATACACTTACATTCCAATATATATTGAATATTTGACAGAAAGTGAATTTTGAAGCATAAATGGAAGGTAATTTGATTTTAAATATAATTTACTTTTTTATTATTTAATTCACACTTTGTATAATAAATCTAGAAAATATTTCATTGTAGAAGACAATCAATATAACATTGCTACAATTGTTGCTGATCTGAGAAATATTATCAAAATTAGAAATGAAACCGAAGAAAGCAAAAATACTGATGTCATGCAAATATTGGATTCCTTGATTAAGAAAAGTTCAATCCAAGGTGTTATATTTAATAGAATAATATATATTCTTTATTTATGAAAAAGATATGTAAGTATTAAATACTGTTTTCAGAAGTAATAGACCTCCTTCCTAATGAAACTGTTTTAATGTTGTTGAGGGACAAATCTAAAGAAATTATTGCACAAACAGCAAAAGCTATTGCAGAAATGACCAAAACTGATAAGGGAAGAGAACAGTATACAAATACAGATATAGTAGAAACGTTAATGAAATTATTGAAAGAAGACGACATCAATATATTGATACAAACTTCTAGAGCTCTTGGAAATATATGTTATGAAAATAGTAATGAAAAAAGATTTATTATTTGCTTATGCATGATAATCTTTATAGTTTCTTTATAAAATTGTATATAAAAGTAATATGACCATATCATAATTCATTTCAGAAAATGGAAAAGTTATGATTAAGGAAAAAGATGGTTTAAAATATATTTTACAAATATTGAAAAAAGCTACTGATTTGAAAAATACCGAAAGTGCCGATATGTTAAGAAGAGTAGCAAGTGGATTATTATGGAATTTTCTTGTAGATCAAGAATCCTTGCAACAGCAGGTTTTCAAATATTATAAATATTATAGTAGAGCTCAATTTTGTATGATATTCTTTATCGAAAATTCATTTATAAATGTTTTTCCATAGGCATTAGAAGAGAACATCGTTCAAATTCTTTGTAATATACTAGAAATTGACGGTGCTATGGCAGGGGAAACAATCACACATGTTTTATTGACATTGGGTGTATTAAATGATGCTAACGTGACATTTTTGGATAAAAGATTAATTGATATTGTAGTAAACATATTAAGTAATAGTAAATCTCTGGAAATCTCTGAAATGTGTTTAGAACTTCTCTATGATCAAGCTGATAACGGTAAAGTAATTTATTATATATATATATATATATATATATGTTATAAGTGAAATGTATTTTATAATTTTGTAATTGCTTTCTGTCATTTTGATTGCAGATGAGGTTAAACTACTCCTTACAAAAGCAAACATTCCTGAATTACTTTTAAAGCTTATAGAAACTCATGGACCACAATGTACAAGTGAAGAAACAAGATCTGTTCTTAAAGTGGCATGTAATTTAATTATTTTGATTTTAACAGGAGGTAAATATCAATTATATTTTCTTATTGATTAAATTCATAATGAAAAATATTGCTAATATTTTTTTAGATGATAGTATGAACATATTATATGATAATGGTAAAGGCACAGTTTACAACAATTTTGTCAAATGGTTAAATAGCAATGACGAAGATTTTCAAGTAACGGCTGTATTAGCTATGGGAAATTTTGCACGCACACACAACCATTGTAAGCTAATGGTAGAACAGGATATTCATAAGAAGTTATTACAATTAATTCAGAAAAATGATAGCAAAAATAGTGATATTAGATTTCAGCATGCCTTACTGAGTGCTCTTCATAATCTTGTCATTCCGACTGATAATAAACCTATTATATTAAAGGATGGTTTAATTGACATTTTATATCCTATGTTGGATATACCAACTTTTCCAATAGTATTCAAATTATTAGGAACTCTGAGAATTGTAATCGATAGACAAAGTATGTTAAAAATGTTTTGATTTGAAAGCATGTGAAATTGTTTTGTGGCAAACATTGATTGCCATTAAGCTGTACTTTTTAAAACTCTGTACGTAGAGGAAGCTGCTATATCTTTAGGGAAAAAAGAAGATCTTATTAAAAGAACCGTGGTATGGTGTGGTACAGATGATCACCCAGGAGTACAAGGTGAAGCTAATCGTTTACTTGCATGGCTAATTAATAATAGCAAGTAAGTTATATTTCATTATATTCTATTTATCTTAATAATAATATCTCCTATAAATAAATCATTTCTTTTTAGAGATAAAGATGTTGCTCTGGTAATTATAAAATACGGTGGTACTCAATATCTGATAAAAATGATATTAGCAGAACATGCTTTAATGCAAAATGAAGCTATTTTAAGTTTAACTTATTTGGCTACCATCTGTCCAATAGAATTGGAAGATGTTCTTATTAAAAATAACATTGGAGATGTTATATGCAAGTTTCTTAAAGAAAGTGCTTCTAATTTAGAATTGCCCATTATTTGTAATATGTTTTCTTTTATTGATAGCATTATTAAATCAGGTATGAGAGAGATATTTAATTATTTTTTATCGTTTAATAAAATTGCCTATTCTTCTCTTTTACATTATATCAAAATATATTATGGCATATTTTTTACAGATATTATTCGACAACATTTAAACAATACTAAAGGATTAAAAACAACGTTGAAGAATGTACTTGATTACGAAAAAGTTGACTCTACTTTAAAAGAGAAAATAAATGTTATATGGAATACTATTGATGCTGATTCTTCATTAAATTAATAGAATTGTGAATATGGTTTATTCAATTTAAAATAAACATTATTTTAACTAGAGATAACTGAAATTATAGTGTCATCGAAACAAATCGATGAAAAGAAAATATTTAAATCTAAATGATTTTTTTAATGATCTATGTACTGACTTCTTATTAACTATAAACAAATTATAGATAACGACAAAAGATAATTAACTATTAAAAATTGAACATTCATAAAATAAATAAATATATTTATGAATATATTTTCGGAATTGAAAGATGTAACACTACATTTATTAATGTAATAAATACTTTTAATCCTATAATAAAAACAAAAATGAATATTTTTATTCTATTATCCATATTTATGTCTATTATAACAAGACACGTGATATTTTTATTTTGAATTATTAAAAAATTAAGTAAAATTAATCCTTTATGCATTTCTAAATTGTAAATATCGATATATCGATAAAAAAGTTTCGATTGTGCATTGAAGTTTCATGGAAAAAGGAAAGGTATCGATTCTGTATGTTCGATATAATTCTATTTCATAGTCACATAACCAAGTAAACATGGAGGAAAGTAAGAATAAATTAGATATTGAGATTGATTCACAAAAAAAATCTTATGCTGGTATTCCGGAAGCAGATTTTGTAGTAAGTATAATTGTCATTACTTTCACTCTCTTTCATAAATTTGATTTTAAATGTATATTTAAATAAATATCAATTTACGGTCACTGTCTGCACATCATTTTCGAACGATTCCTTATATAGAAAGGATCTATATGAAATTATGTCAAACAATACATACATATAATTCTTATAAATTGTATTATTTTTATTATCAAAATATATCGAAGAATCAATTGTAAAAGTCTATTACTTTTTTTTTTTCATTTTTAGGAAGATGTAGATGCATTTATGGCAAGACCAGAGAACGAATCTGTGGATAAAGTTCTCAAAAAACTTGAAGAAAATCATATGAAATATAAATTCATGGAATATAATTTGGTTAATAAAAGAAGACGATTGGAAGCACAGATACCAGATCTGGAAAGATCATTAGAAATGATCGAGAAATTAAAAACCGAAAAAGATAATAGTCATGATTTAGAAACTCAATTTCTTTTATCGGAACAAGTTTATGCTAAGGCTACTATTCCTCCTACGGGTAAAGTTTGTCTTTGGCTTGGAGCAAATGTAATGTTGGAATATACGCTTGATGACGCTCAAGAAATGTTGAGTAAAAATATTGAAGCTGCCAAGAAAAATTTAGGATATGTCGAACATGATTTAGACTTTGTCAGAGATCAATTTACCACTATGCATGTTAATATGACAAGGATTTACAACTGGGACGTTAAGCGTAGACAAGCACTCAAGATCTCATGAAATATCATTTTGTAATAATAACTCTCTCACACAATTTCTGAAATTTACAAATTTGATGATAGTAAATCTAATATCTTCGCTTATATTTTAAATCAGTTTATGTCATCAATAAAATACATTAATTATCAAAAATATAAACCAGTTTTTATTTTTGCGATACAATAAGCTAGAAAATACTTCAAGGTAATATTGTGCAAGGCTATTTTTGTAATTGTTATTTATTTATGAAAATACAAATAGACCTAAGAGTATTATACATGTATGTATCACTATATTATTATATAAAAATTATTATATATATGTGATCTATATACTAGTATCTAAAGAATATAATTGTAACGATATGCATGAGATCATAGATATTATGCTGACATAAGAGATAGTAATACTAAAATATGATTTCATTCAATTTATAATATATATATATATAAATGCTATTAAATGATAGCATTTATTTTGTTATATTTTCAAAATATAAAATATAATTGTGTCATCAATTTAGATTGAATTCAATTCTTAACTTTTTCACAACCTTTTATATTTACCCTTTCCATGGAAAGAGTTAAACAAGGATCTTGTTGTTATAATTAGATGTTTTAAAAGAATTAAATGTTAATTTTTATTTCTTTTTTACGTTTAAACATTCCAAATTTGAAGAATATTCTTAAAAAGATACAATTAGTATTACTTTGTCAGCGTTTAGTTATACGAAAATGAACATTTAATTGTTCATTTCATTTTGTTCATATTTTGCTAGTTTTTCTTGCAACTCAGCAATCTTTGTTTTAGCATTGTCTAATTCTTTTTTTAACGTAATAACTTCTAAATTGTTTTCTGCCAAGTCTCCAAGATTCTTACGTATATATCTTTGAAATTTTGTTAAAGAAAAATCTTATATCATTATTTAAACATTATACCTTAAACACACACACACACTTACTGTTTTATATTAAATCATTATTATTAAGGATACTCTAATGCATCATTTGGTTTTTCAGATTCTTCATAAAGTGATACGAGTAACTTAGTAAGGGCATCCATAACACCTGCTCTTTCCAAATATTTCCTGTACTCCTCTTTTTTCGAATCATTTGACTGAAATAATATATATATAAAAGTGAAATATTAATAATAGTTAATAATCAATTTTGTAATATAATTATAAGTTTCATTTAGACCCTTTAACAAGATGATATCAATACAAAAAATATAGTAAGAAAAGATCGATAATTTAATGTAAAAATAAATAAATGTGATAATATTAATTTACCTTAAATGTAGACATTGTTAATTTGTGATTAGGAATGATATATTTATTACACGCTCCTAGTTTTGCAAAGAAAGTTCTATTTTCTTTTTTCTCTAAAATATTTCTCCTTCAAGTTAACGCTGCGAACAGTAAACAAAACATATCGTAACGACGATCACTGTGCTAATAGATACATACATTATATAAAAACAAAAGCACACATTATGTTTTTTTCAAATTGTTAGTTTCCATTAAATTAAAAACAAAGAATACAAAATTACATAGAAGCTCAACTTTTCATGTAACCAAAATAATTTTAATTAGCATTGAGAACACAAGTGAGCGATTATAAAGAAGTTTTCTCTTCAAAAATTTTGTTCGTGCATTCGATCATTGACTGAACTTTTTGTAGACTCGTGCATTGACTAATTACTTCGTAGCTCATTGATTCTCGAAAATTGGAAAAATTTTGTTCGTGCATTCGATCACTGACTGAACTTTTCGTAGACTCGTGCATTGACTAATTTCTTCGTAGTTTATTGATTTTAAAAAATTGAAAAAAATTTTGTTCGTACATTCAATCATTGACTGAACTTTTCGTAGACTCATGCATTGATTAAATTTTTGTTATTACACTCATGCATCGATTGAATTTTTCGTAGACTCGTATATTAATATAAATACTCATTTTTGTAAATGAAGGATAATTTTAATTTAATTTATTATATATACATGTGTATCATTTTAAACATTTCTTTACATAATGTTAAGTACAATATAATTATTTTGTGACATGAAAAGGAGATATTAGAGAAAGGGAATTATTTGTATTAAATATGTAATAGTGGAAACCTAGTTTCTACATCTTTAGGTTTATTACGCATCCATCCGTAAGGATTGCTTTTAATATCATCTTCCATTAAAACTTGTTTCTCTGCCATCAAATTAGCAAAATCAGAAACAACTGGATCTGCTCCTACACTACTCATCGCTATTATTTTACCGTCTTTTACATAATAAGCAAAATATTGCAAGTTTTCTAAAGAACCATAAATAATCACTTTATCCGGCTTGCCGTATCCTAAAAATATATATTATTATGTATAATATAATAATAAAATTTCAAATTATAATATAAAAATAAAATGTGTGTGTGTGTGTGTTTACCTGCATATCGATAACTCTTTCCAAATAAAGTAGTCCAAAAAAATGGGACACTGTATAAAGCTTTTTCTTTATTACAAATATTTAAAGCTGCTATTTTACCATGATAATGAGCTAAACCATAATGACCAATAGCAGCAGAAATATTATCAGAACCTAACACTGGAGCATAAGCTATATCACCACCAGCAAATACATTTTCTATATTTGTTTTCAAATACTGCAATTAATAAAAGTAATTAATAATGAAACGTACATGTATAAAACAATGAAAAATAGCATTCAATATAAAGGTGATACCTTATCTACGATAATAGCACCATTGTCCAACAATTTAATTGTTGATTTTTTTAACCAATCCGTATAAAATGTAGAGCCTATTCCAATAATACATATATCTGCTTCAAGAATATTACCATCAGACAATTCAACTTTGCCTAATGTATTATCAGTTCCTTCTTTGGGAATAAACTTTGATATATTATTGTTAAATATAAATTTAATACCTTAAAAAAAAAACGAATAGTTATATATTGTTCTTAACACAAAATTACATATGTTAAATAATAAAATTATAGAAACCTTTTGTTTCAAATTCTTCCCGAACTCTGTTACCAATTTCTGTACCAAAAACGTCATGTAAAGGTACAGTGCCTCGTCCTATAACGGTGACAGATGCACATTTATCTATACAGTAAGAAGCTACTTCCATACCAATAAAGCCTAAGCCATATATAACTACATGTTTATCGGGATGTAATAATTTATGTACAGCATGTGAATCATTGTAATTGCGTAAGACAAAAATATTCTCCAAATGAACTCCAGGTAAATCAGGTACTCTTGCTTTGCTACCAGTGCAAAGGTATAAGTAATCATATTTTAATGTTTCAGAATTGTCAAGTGTAACAATATTTTGATTTGTATCCAAAGCTGTAATAATAGAAAAGATATAAATAATAAAACATGTATATACGTATATAATTTGTGATTATTGCTTTTACCTATAGCTTCTCGACCTAGTTTAGTTTCAATATTATGATCATTGTAAAAACTTTGCTGTCTTAAAGAAAATTTGTTCACGTCGAAATTCAATACTTTAGATACTTTCACTCTATCATAAGGCAATGTATTTTCTTTGCAAATTAAAATGATTTTTCCTGTAAAGCCTTCTTGACGTAAGCTTTCAGCACATGTAGCTGCTGATGGGCCTCCACCAATAATCAAAGTAGTCTTTGGATTTTTAGCATCATATTCACACATATCTTTAACCCGTTTATTAACTTCTAGATCTTTAACTCTTGCTTTGACACGTACAAGTCCTTCTTCATCTATAGTTACCTGCATATATATAATAATGCATTATACGTCAAAAGAAAATACATTTTGTATAAGATATTAAGAAAGTTTGTAGTCACCTTATAACAAGGCAAGGAATCTAATCCTGGATAATCTTCTATATCACCTGTTTTTATATTGAAACATGCTCCGTGCCATGGACATCTTACTATGCCATCTCCTAATGCACCAGTATGCAACGGAGCTCCATAATGGGTACATTTTGTTCCAACTGCATGGATTTCTCCTTTTTGTTTTACTAATAACACTTTAGATTCATTCTTTCCAAGAGTCACCACTTTCATTTCATTTTCATTAATGTCATTTTCTTTGCATACTACATCTTCTATGTAATCAGATTTTTGTGGTACACCTAAAAATGAACTTTTATTTTATACACAGTTATATGTGACATGAAATATATAGCGCATAAAAAAAAAATAAAAAGTAAAAAAGAGGGAGTATTGTAACAAACTTACAAGAACAACAGCATGATCCTTGTTCTTTATTGCATTGATTACAGACATGAATTTTTCTCTTATCCTCCCCATTTGTTGACATTACAAACTCGGGATATGTTAAGTAACTTCAATAAAATAAAGGAAATATATTGATTTTTATAAAACGTACACAAAATTCTTCGAAAGTATTAGGAGTCAAAGAAAAAAATCCATTGATTTATGAATCGGAAATATTCTATTATGATATTTAAAGAATTTTTCTTATTTGTGTATTTAAAACCTGATCGAAATTTTACGACACTGACGTACGAACAGCTGATTGATAAAGTAATGTGTTAGTGTTATTAGTACGAAAAGATTTTCATAGGTGAAATCTTATTTTTTCATGTATCAATAAAACATAGTCAACTAAAGATTAATTACAATAATAAAATTTAAATAAACAACAAATGAGAAAATGATCAAACAAAATTATATTACCTATGTATTAGATTATTGTATAATTTCTGTCTTAATATTTGAATAAAATGAAGTTGGATAAATCAATGTTGCTATGTATAGCAACATATTGAACATTATTACCACCTATAAATTGTCTTAATTTAAAAAATAACAAAATGTTTTTTCAATTCACCTAATGTCAATTTTGAATGTAAATATATGCTTATCTTTTTGGCGGATGAATCCTGATAGGTGCACAAAACATGACAGAAATGACGCAATAACCTAACAATTGAATTTAATATTATTATTAATTACCGCAGATTTTTGGATAAATTACAACGTATATGATTAAACAAAGGAAGAATAATTCTCGTATTCATCGTTAATTTCGATTTAATTGTTTCTTTTTATGGTAGTAGAATAACGCAGATGATTCATATCACAATTTGGTATTTCCGGTCACAAGCAACAAGTTATCGGAATTCCCATATATGTATTTTATAAATTACGCATTAATTAATTGAAGATAAGAATTTTTAAATAAATTTCAATTAATATCGAATGCACATTGACGTAGAAATATTCAACTACAACAATTATTAAATTAGCAATATTGTACATATGGTTTCAAAAATAAAATTTAAATCAATATTCTTTTGATAATCATAGCCGATCACAGATATGTAAAGATTAATTGATTATTTTCAAATGTTATTAAAAAATAAGATTATAAATATAATTTTTCAAGAGATAAATTAAAAGATAACATATACTTTTAATTATTCGAATGATTTGCATATATCTATTATAAATTACATATTTGTTTATATGTGTGTAAATTATTATCAGAAAGTGATTGAAATTATACATAGCATATGCGAAATGATCAATTTTTTAATACTATTCTTATTTGTTAAAAATAAGTACGAATTGTACGAATAAAATAATTTTAAAGTATATTGCCACACCTTTCTCTGTAGATTTATATCTTTCGGTTTCATAGTCATCTGTAGAGGAAAATTCTTTACAATGTTTCAAACCCATGATTAATGAATTACTGTTTGTTATCTTTACCACTCACAAAAGATATCTATGAATCGAGACTGATTGAAACTGATTTTCGAATCTATTTATCACCCGATATTGTGGCATTGTAGGAGTAAGATTACGGTGTATGAATGGACTATATCAAATAACCTTGAGCCAAACCAGCAATGAGTAATAAGTTTTTACTTTCACTTTTTTTTGCTCCTTGCACAATCAAAATTTACTTATTTTTGATTCAAATAACATATTTGAAAAAGTAAATTTTTTATGAAAATGTCACTAAAAATTCATTTTAATAAAAAAATAGTTTTTCAATTAGAACATATAAACAAATAACTCTCTTTCTTTTTATTATTTTAGATCTTATATATCCTAATAATAATTAAATGATATGAAAAATATTCTTATTATTTGTATCATTTTATTTTTATTGTTAGTTATGTATTTTAGAAACTGTGACAAAAGAATTTGGTGGCCTTTTTTTTTTGACAGTTCATCGATGTATTATAAACTTATAAAACTTATATCAATAAATCTCTAATTATTAATAGGGAGCAGAAAGGAATGAAAAATCTTGTTGTGCCCTTTATTATAAAAAGCACTAACATTATATACTATGACTGCAATATGACTGCTTCTGTACAAGTTATACTGCAGGTATTTCTAATAAATGATGAAAAAACAAAAAAAAATATACAATTATCTATACATTGGCACGGTTTGTTAAATATACAGTTCAATGTTCAAAAATGAAAATATCGTTAATTTACTGATTGTATACTACGTAAGTTTTTTTCGCATACACTGACAACTTATATTTTATTCTAACATAGAGAACGTAATCATAATTATAAATTTGTACTAAAAACAATACATTATACGAATATTTCAATGTTAAAGATAATTGTGAGAGTATTGAATGCAATATTCTTGGTCACACACATATAATTTAAGGATTTA